ATGCTAATCAATGTTTGAAATAGGGACATGTCTTTATTTTCCATTGTCATGTAAATTAGCTTCAAATTTTTCATACAACTAGAATAGATTGAATTTCATGGCTCGGTTTCATTTCAGGTACTTTTTCGTTGTAGTCATATATATAAACTGGAAAGAGAATGAATTAATAAACTCGGTAGTTCTGATAATGTCTTGGTGTGTCATCGAAATCGTACCCAAAAAACATTGTAATGCGATGTATGCTGCCAGAGTTAATTCGGAGATATGCCAAATTGTTGAACTTTTTCCCAAAACAATACCTCAATGGACATTGAATGAAGTGTGTCACGAAAACAAAGAAAAGATAGATTTAGACATTAATATCATTAAAATTATCGTTCTCACCATTGATCACAAGAGAGTTCTTCTTGAGATCATACAATAGAGCATTCAAATGACGATTAAGATCGTAAAATAATTCATTGGCAAGATCTTCGAGAAGTCGAACAGCTGATTGATCAGGCATTGCTATTTGTGTGGAAACGAGAAATTTCAAATGAAACAGTTCAATCTTGCACAATCATGTTAATTGTTACTGAAATCAATGACATATTGTGAGTCAACGACTTGCTGTCTCGATTGATGATGCAAGAGCATGAAAGTGTAATGTCATCATCTAAATATGCTCTATCGGTTAATTCTACTTATAATTTACTATCATTTTTTGTATTAGTCAAACGAACAATTAGTATTCAGACGAGAGAAATCTGAAAATTAGCTCTAAATTCTTCCTGTTAAGATGATCAATTTTTTGGAGTCAAATATTTCCATGAGACTCGGCAAAATGTATTTTTATTAGAATTTTGGAATTATCAAACAATACTCATCATGAACACTCGCATTCACATATTATTTGGCTTTTATTTTGATCAAATCAAAATGATTCACATATATATTCCACTTCAGGTATGTTAGACTGTATAAACATACCTGACGGCATTTTTATTTCTCTTTCTTTCTTTCGTATCATTTAAATGATTTGATCTATCTGTTCGTTCGTTATATGTCTACTTCAAACATGAGTGAGCAGCCAAGATTATTTGAAGATTTATCTGTCGAACTTTTTCATCTTATATTTGAATATTTGACACCTCATGATCTATTCTTGGCTTTCAATAATCTTAATCAACGATTTACAAGTATACTTGCTCAACAACCACTTTTCATACCAAATAATCGGCACATGAATTTAAATCTCTATTTCAATTATTTAACTTCAATTATACCAAATCATATTTCACAAATCATTTATCTTCATCTATCGGAACGACGTGCTCCACATGCAGTTGACTTATTTCTTTCGACAGTACCTCTCGAAGCAAGCAATTGGTCTGCATTGAAAGCTGTTACTATCGAAGATGTTCCATTTTATGCACTCGAAGCATTATTAGATGATAATTCACTTTTATCAAATGTTCATTTTCTTTCAATTGATATAGGTGTCGATCGATATCATCATTCTGAATACCATATCTATGATTTCAATGTTGTTCTTCCAGTACTCGAGTATTTACCTGAACTACGATCACTCGGTATACGGATGCATACTCATATAAACGATAATTATTCTATTAATTTCAATCGATACTGTCCGGCTATGATTGTTCATCAAAATTTGCATACACTTATGATTCATGAATGTTCAAAAGAGTTGTTAGTTTTAATGCTGAACGATGCTCATTTGTCTCAATTGTATCGTTTGCATGTTTCTCTTGAATGGTAAGTGATAAATATTCTATAAACAAAGAAATTTTATCATTATTTTTAAGTACACACGAAGGTCTAGCGATTGAACCATCGTGTCCAACACCATTAAAATTAACATCAGTACCCAAACTACGTCATATCAATATTAAAATAATGGTTGGTCTTGCTTGGGTTTTAGCTTATTTTGAAGAAATTCAACGTCATAGTCAACTCGAACATTTGAAGATATCTGGTCATACAAGATTTACTTTGAATAGTAATTTTCCACGAGTATCTGCATTAAAACAATGGTTGACTTTGAATAAATCAAAAGAATTTACATTTCAAATGAAGTTACTTGTAGATGCTACACATGATGCAACAGAAATTCGAAAACTTGTAGTTACCGAATATAACAAAGCGATTGGTATTAAAAAAACAACCTATTATCGAAGTATTAATCTTAATTATTCAGCATCAAATAATACATATAAAAACAACAAAGACCCACGAGTTGAACTTTTCGATGATGAACTAATCAATGAATATGTTGTCAAAGTAAGATAATCACAATAGGAAAGAAAAAAAAAAGAATATTTTTTATTTCGACTTTCAGATGGAAATTATGGAAATGGATTATATCGATGATGAATTGCTTGAATATCTTCAATTAATTCCTCGTTGGCATTGTCTAAGAAAAATAATTCTTGAAAGTGATTATCCATATGTAACGTAAGTTAGCAGAAATATTGATTATAAATATGTTTTTCTTGTATTTGTAATATAGTGAAAAACTTGGTGAAAATATTCCACTTTTACTTCATATTGCTCAACGTGCACCATATTTTCGTGAATTTTATATTGAAGCAAATCTAAATTTAGGTCGTATACTGTCATCAAATGTTCAACTTGGTATTTTACTTATGTCTCAACTTGAAATATTTTATTTTACTGCAAAAGATTCTAATTGTTCACTTGGTAATCTTGTTGAAATTGTTGACATTCTTTTTACTCATTCATCAGCATCATCAATCGTCTTGAAACAATTAACATTAAATGTTGATGGACATCCAAGTTCATGGCTTACTATTGATCATCTATTTGTTCATATTGGAAAGATATTAGATCGTTTTCCAGCACTTATTCATTTTACATTATTTTGCCAACATGATACAGAATCTCAAGATAATACTTATAATTTATCGAAATTAGCTCCAGAATGGTATGCTCGATTGTTATTTTCTCGACCACATTTGATTGATTCATTAGAATATAGATATAAGACATATTCACTTGATATTTGGTTGTAAATTTTTTCTTTTTTTTTGAAATAAAAATGAAATGTAGAAGAATTCATATTGTGTATTTGATTATTGGAACAAATGCACACGATAAAAAATCACTTATGAATAAATAAGAGTATTAACAAGATCAAGAAAAAGTTGATGAACTAAAACATAGACATTTTATAGAATATTGCTTAGAGAAAAAACAATTCTTTTTCGTTGACTCTAAATACTCGTTTCTACATTAATATCGATCAAACAGTACGACAATTCGCATCTCGATCTCCCATGGAGCTGGATCATGTGGACAAAGGTGTGTGAGCGTCCCTACCTTTAGTCACTCACATTCTTTTTCGACATTTAAATATTTTCTTACATTTTAGATGATTGATCAATTTTCAATATTCAAAATTTTCTGCATATAAACATTGTTGAATACTATTATGAACTCGACATGTGATAACAATAAATATTAAAGAATTTTATAGAGATACATAGATATGAATATCATCTTATCATTCATATCTTTTAGTTTTTTTATCTCTAGAAAGAAAAAACTACGTAAATTTGATAAACAACCGCGAACCCTAAAAAGAAACGATATCTATTGTTTTGATAAGACATATATCGTGGGAACATGTGCAAATGAATTATTTATTTTAAATTGAATTTTGAAAGAATATT